GCATTTTAGACAAATGAAGGTATGGAAGAGAGGTGTTGTTTGTTGTTATTGCTGAGTAAGTCATTGATCAAATTGCAAAGTGGTTACTTTGAGCTGAGCTAATACAGCCATCCTAAGAGTGGGAGGTGGCAGCTGCTTAACGGTGCTCCAAACCCTTATGGTGTGGCTCAGGTCTGGAAATGAATACTGCCCTGCACAACTGACACTTCAGAGGGAATTCAAGGAGGCCAAATACTATCGCCTTCATTGAAATTTAGCCAGGACATTATGCAATCTTTAGCAGCAGTCTGAATCTCTATTTTTATATCTCTGATAAAAAGGAACACCTAGAGCTCTCCAGGCTTCTGTCATCATTAGTTGGCACATTACTTCATTTTGATCAGAAAGAAGATTGCTTCTCACCCTCTGATTTTGTTTGGTGCAGTTCTACAGAATCTCACAAAGGTTCTCCAAAGCAAGCACGAGAAAACTCTTATGGTGTCTGACATGAGTATAATACAAAACGAATAGGCTGAAAAATCAATGTTCCCCTTAACTTTCTACTATTTATGTTCTTTTGATATTGTTGTTGTTATTTTTGTTGTTTATAAGGGATGGAAGTTTTAACTGTATGAGCAGTAGAGACTATTTAGGGTCCATTATTGCCATTCTTGTCAGACAGAGATAACTTTGCTGTGAATTTAATGAAAATAGTGGTTAAAGAATTGGATCAGGATGTTAAAAATTATTACAGAGAGGAAGGTTCCTTGTAGGGTACACCCTGGTGCTTCAGCAGCGTGCATGCAATGGCACAAAATAAAGCTTGAACCCAACCTGATGGTTTTTTTCATTTGCTGGGATGTCTCCCTCATCCACTCTGCTTAGCAGTCTCCAGCTGTACAAGGTTATTGTGGCACTGATAACTTTCTGTGGCTTCTGAAAATTTGGAGATGTGTTTCAACAAGAAAAAAAAAAAGATTATCTACCTATATATATATCTATCTAGAACACTTGATCTCACTGAAGAAGACTCTGGCATCTTCGTTACAAAGAGATTTCACTGGTATTTCCTGATTCTCCAGCCAAATAAATTATCACTAAAGCCTTTTCTCTGGGAGGATGGAACAAAAATTATTTCTCATGCTGGCTTGATAGGATATGTAGTTGAGATTAACAGGTCAAAGAGTTTTAGGAGCCCTATTCTGAAGACTGACTAAAGAATATTCTATGTAACTAACTTAACTGCTCTCCAGATGGTCAAAACTGAAAAGGCCATCTGAGCAAAAATCAAGTTTTGGAAAGTGCCATGAGAAATTTTAGCCAGAGGATGTGGATTCTGCTTGTGCTGGCTTCAGTGGAAACAGACTCACTCTAAATATTAATTTTTTTTTGTTTGTTTTAAACCCTTAATTTCTTACAAAGAAATGTCTGGAAATTCCATGTTGTTATTTTCAAAAGTGATGAGCTCAAATCACAAAATCTGGATCTGGATGCCTAGCAGTGCCAGAAGTTCAGGAGAGTTTGGACCAAGAAGGCTGGCTCAGGCAAGTGTTGAGTGTTTTCCCAGGATTTTTTGAAGGCCAAGACAAGGGTTTCAAAGAGGAGAGAGGCATGTGCAACATGGCAGAGTTACAAAAAAACATCGCTTGGAATTTCCTGGGTTTTGCGAGATTAAAATTGTAAGTCTAATTAGTTTAAGGAAATTAGCTCTTTATAATTTTCATTTTGTATTGAAGAAGTAAGAAAAATTAAAAATAGAATGAGAATGGAAAAATTAATGGGTTTCAGTAATTAGTTAATCAGAAAATGCTCCTGTCTTAGTGTGGCTGCCCAACACATTAAAAAAGAAAAAAGAAAAAAAAGTAACCATGACTTTCCTCATACTTTCCAAAACAATATAAGCTTCACCTCTGAGCTTGGAACAACTACTTGACATTTCAACTCAGCTCATTTTTTAGCGGTAAGCCACTGAAATTGGTGTTTAGGTTGAAATACCATCTCACCATAACGTTAGTACAGACACAGAATAAATACATATATCCTGGCAAAAATAAACCAGAATTTGTTGCTCCTACTGGCCACATCACATTTATATGACTTGCATGCACTAATGAAATGTTAAATGGAAGGGAAACCTCTTCTGAGAGCAGACCTTTTCACCAAGTGGTGAACTGGGGATCTCTGACATCTGAAAGCAGCAGGACAACTTATTACGCTGTAGGAAAACACATTTCTCTTGACAGTGGTGATCCAGTCTGAGGCCTCACAAGCCACACACTGGTGCACTAAAGAGACATGTGTTAGACAAGCTGTTTTGTCCCTTGGCTATCACCCTCCCGAGCACTGAACAGATCTGGATTGGGCTGGCTTAGAAAAAAAGTCAGATGAAAGCAGTGAAGTTAAGCCAAGTCAAAACACAACTTTGGTGCAATTCCACCAAATCCAAGTTATGCTAACAAAACTTCAGCAGCAGCGAGCCTGTCCTTCTCTGCCCAGCCCAGAGCACTACTCTCAGGCATTAGCTGCAGCACTTGGCTTTCAGCTCTCTGCACCTCTTTGCTATATTTATTTTGTGAGGCAGCTAAATACGTCTTTTATAATTATTTGAGCTTATAACATCTTTGAAATGAAAGAATCTACTCTGCGGAGATGATGCTGAAGAAGTCTGAAGAGCACGTTGTTTTGTTTTTTCCTATAAATAAGGATGCTGAGCAACAATCCACTGAAATGGCCAAAAACTTGAAAGGAGCCTTTTAATTCCCACTTACATTGCTCTCAAACTTCAGCTTTATCGCGGAGCTGTTTCCTGATTGTCAAGTCAACTAAATTCATGGGCGGCTACCAGAATGAGCTGACAAATAAATACAATACCCACAGCTAGGACTGCTCAGAGCACTGGAACACGTGTAGAGTACCAGGGAACATCATGTACCGTGCACGCAGAGCACACAGTTCTTAAACATTCGCAACACTTACTCCAAAACCAGATTTCTTCCAACAAAGTCTGTAATTGCTTCCTCAGGACCATGAACATGCCTAAGCATGAAACGTTAAAGTAAAGCTGGTTTTAAGTTGGTCAAGGAAGAGAGAAAAGGAAAGAAGCCTGAAAACGTCTTTGGTCAAAGAGTCTCTTACTCCTCATTGCGACAACTGGCAAAAACGAAATAAAAATAAACGGTGTGCTGTTGAGAGCAAGGTAAGATACTGGTATTTATCTGGAGGATCTGGAGGCATATCCAAATGAAGTTTCAGACTGCAGGAGTCATCTCAACTCAGCTCTAGCACCTTCACTAAAGCAAGAGCACCCTGCAGGCTCCAGAGGGATGCTGTGCTGTGCAAGCATACGCTCTGGGGTTTCTGGTTTCCGACACTGATTCAAGACCACCCTAAATCCTGATCTTCTAGCTCTGTTTTTCATTACCTTTTCTCAGGAAAACCTGCACTGATTTCAGTGGGAAGGTGTCTTAGATGAGAAGTAAGAAACATCACCAAACTAGCAGGACAACCTCAACTTACACACCTACAGTACAGCTGAAATGCAGTTGTTTCTGGATTCTTAACAAAAAAACCTCTGGTCCGTATTTGCCTCACTTACAAGATTGCTTTTGTACACTGGCCTAAGTATACACTGGAAAGGAAAGGCTAAAACTTACAGTTCTTCAGCTGTGTTAATAGGAATATCAGCCCAAAATGTGTATAAATCACACACCAAAATCCATCCATACTTTCCCCCGGAGCGTGGCCATCGGCCCGCACACAGTCACTGCTGAACAGCACAACTTGGTAGAAGGACTGGCTGGCCAAAGCACCTACCTCTGAAAGTATCAGTAACTCCTTTGTGTCTCTACAGTGCAAACAGGATTTTGGCTTTGCTGATCTTACCAAATTCGGACAAATAAAGCACCGAGCTCCATAAAAATACAGTAATAATTACAGAAGGAGCAAAGTTGTGTAAAAAGCTCATTTACTGGTTTGCTTAATAAAGTATATTGCGATTCAGGTTGCAAAAAACTGAAGCAAACGAACAAAAACCTGAACACTTGAAATCCCTCTGATAAAACTTAAATCTCCTCCCTTCAAAACCTCTCATTTTGGAAGGTTTGAAGGATTTTCCTTCCTCCCCACCTTTAAAAATCAATTCTTAACAATTCTGAACAGAAATCCTTAGTTCACAAAGAGAAATTAAAACATTGCATAGGAAAGTATCAAAACAAAACATTACCTCTTTTGGAAAGACAGACCTTTGTCCTTGCAACGATTTAGTAAACTTGATTTCAATTCAGTGTTTCTGTTGATGTGACTTAGCATTTTCAGAGAGAAAAGTTTTGCAGCGGCGTTTGTCTAAATAATGTAATACTAAAGACCGCACAAACAGGGAAAAAATATCATCTCCCTTAACTAAAATGTGACTCAGTATCAGAAATGCTGCTGCCATAAGGCTACTTTGCTACACACCTCCAATTGTTAGCTGCTGTCTGGCTCCCCCCATCCTATTATTAGGCACCGGAGTTCTGGTGCAGGAAACTTTTATGGGCGGCGTACACAAAGCGTGTCTAATTTCTAACTCGCACTTCATCCTCTCTTCCTTCAGCACAACATTTCATTTTCTTACAGCCTTAACTGCCCCCATTTGCTCACCTAAATGCAGAAAAGCCCAGCATAGGGATTGCTGCCTGACAGCTTTTCAAACTCGGTGTGGAGAAGGTGCCCAAATGAAATAAACATATAAACAGAGGGAAGTTTATGAAAGTGAAAGGAACGGCGCGGAGCGGCAGGAGCGGCAGCAGGCAGCTCTGTACTCCTCCTCAGACTGACACAGGTGTATCCCAACTTCACCTACTCAGGCAGGAGAGACAGGGAGACACGTACCGGTATATATGGACACACCGAGAAGTGCCGGGAAGGGCACAGGAAGAAGCAGAAGAGAGAAATAAAGCCGAAAGGTGTTATTTATTTTTACAACTCGACAATGAACTTCAATTTTGGCAGAGGATTAAAAACAGCCCCGGGAAATGATTAAGTTTTTTTTTTTCTTTTTTCTTTTCTATAAAGCTTCAGCACAAGAAAAGAGATTATAAAGGGGATACGCTCACACGGGCACACATAAAATAGGGGGGAACTAAGGAGAAGGAAATGAAAGGAAAAGAAAACAAACAGCCTCCTAACAGGCCCATACTGCTAACGGGAGTCCAAATAAAGAGTCATATGATATCTGATAGTGCAGGACACGTCGCCAGGAGCTGGAGCGGATTGCCTGCAGGAAGAAAGAGCCAGTGTGTTACTGCTCAAAGAGCTTTTCTTTCCCCCTTTTTAAATTTTTTTTTCCCCTCTCTCTCTTTTCTCCTGTACTGTGAATGTGTTACTCTCAGGTCAGGTCCACAGAGTCCCCAAAAGACAGCTATCGTCTTTCTCCCTACTTCTGGATGCATTGACAGCCCCTGGAAGATGCCTTCTACTTGAGATTGAGGGGGCTAAATCTAGGTTTCATCTCTATTCTGACGTCTCTCTTATATCACCATCTCCACGGTTGCAGTACAAAATTCTCACAAAAAACATCTTATATTTAAAAAACATAAAGAAGGGACAGAGAGGTCAGACTGGGGGAGAAGACAAAATATTCAGGCAGAAAAAAAATGAGACTGCTTATCCTATGGAAAACTTCAAAGGCCAACTCCCCTTTCTGCTCTCTTTTGCTTACTTTTCCTGTGATTTTTTTTTTTTTCTTCTTTTTCAGAGAGAGCAAGAGAAGAAAGTCACAGAAAATACTGAGACCATGAAAAACATCAGGAGTTAAGAAAACTCTCTGGAGGAATGAGGAAAGCAAGGATTTTAAGTGAAAGAAAGACATTTTTTTTGGTAAATTTGCCAAAAGTTTTTCTATTTGTTATGGTGGTCCATCCCTCTCAGTCAAGGATTCCACATTAAACTGGGGAGCCTGCTAAGTACTTTTAGCTTGGCACTACTCTTGCTGTTGCCCATGGAAAGACAGAACACCTGGGTTACCTGCAGCAAAGGAACCTGTACTCAGAGTGGGAGACTTTAGCCCGTGATGATTCCCCAACTTCTGCTGGGTGAGCTGTGCCCACAGCTTTGGAGAGGGAAGAGTCCCAGCTAATGAAGCTGTGAAAGTGAAAGCCCCCAGTCTAGATTCTGGTATGAAAACAAAACTGTGTTTTACCTGCTGGTTTCACTTGTCATGGGCAGTTTCCCTGCACTTCTGCAAGGGACAGGCTGTATGCTGCAGGATGTTTTGCCACTGTAGGGTACTGGGATTTCTAAAGCGGTGCAAGCAGAGCCCAAGGATGGATTTTTTTCTCCCCCTCATCATATGAGGAGATGTAGATGGACTAATTCCCCATGTAGATTTACACAATGCATAGGTGTTGCTTAAAAACTGTTAGAACACATATGCGATAGCTACGAAGCTGTAAGAGACAACCTCTTCTGAGCAAAGCCTGCAGCATGAAAATAAAAATCAAGGTATTGTACTAGTGGTGCAGCCAGAAACAGTCATCGTAACTCTGCAATAATTTGATTTAGTTTTGTGTATTGTCTGCTGCTGATTTTTAGGGGGGATATAACATACAGTTTCCTCTCTTGTTTTCTGTACCTCTGCTATATGATGCTGTTCTTAGATTGGCAATTTGTCAAAGCCAGGAAAATACAGATCAATATAGGAAGGAAGGCAGAATTTGGATAAAGAATGCACTTCCTTAAGATACTGAATTTGCAACAGTATATATTCTCAAACATCCTAATCCCTACACAGGAGATGCTGTAGAGAAGATATCCTGTGGTGTTATACATTATATGCAATAAAATTCAAATCAAACATCTCTTTAAATGTGATGCACTATTCCATTCTATATTACATGTGCCTTTTCACATACAAATAGACAAAGAGTGTATCTATAAGAAACACATTCAGAAGAACAAAAAATCTACAGTGCAAGAAAGTCTATCCTGAAACCCTCAGTCTGGGGCTTGACTGAAGAGCTAAACTCAGAAGGTGAAATGGAGCCATTTAAAAGAAGGTCCCACCGAACAGGAGAAACAAGCAAACAAACAAATAAACAAAAAAAAAAATCCCTGAGCTCCGACTAATCATTTGAGCTGCCAATGAGAGGTGACTTTTAGACAGATGGTCAGGGAAAAGCTGGGTCCGTGGACACAGACGTTAGTGCCCCATCTGTATTTTAGGATCCTAGCTTCAACAAGCCATTACCAACTTTTTTTCTAAGTGACAGAAAGTGAAAGATTTCTGTTCCCACTAATTTGCTTCTTTCTTACCGAAAGCACCCCACTTCCCTCTTTTTTTTTTTTTCCCCCCGGTAAAAATTTGTTGATTTTTTAAATAAACAGAAACTGTTTGTAAAAAAAAAAAAAAAAAAAAAAAAAAAAAAAGAAGCTAGGTAAGTTGGCAAAACAGCAATTGGAATTTAAAGACAGAGTTAAAAAAAAAGGGAGGAAAAGAACGACATACCAAACTCACTTCTTCTTGTCCCCCTTCCATTCCTGTTCTTATTAATTCCAAATTATAATTTGGAGGTAAGGGAACTGCATTTCCTTTCAATCTATTTTGTTGCTGCCACACATTCTGTGCTTTGCTTCTCTCTCTTTCTTTTTAGGAGGGGGAAAAAAAATCCCTAATAAAAATAGAAAAACATATCTCAGGCGTTAAGCTCGCTCTCCCCCTTCCTTTGTAAAGAACTCTTTGTTCTCTAGTGAAAATGCTGAAAAAAATCCCCGGGCTCCCTGAAACAAGTGCAAAACACTTAGAGGCTTTTGGGCTGGCGAGGAGCCAGAAACCCTCCCGCTGTCTGGTTAGGAAGAGAGGAAAGAGAGAGAGAGGAGAGAGAGGGAAAAAATTGGAGCTTCCTTTAATAGACATAGGAAGCAGGTCCTTTTTTTTTTTTTTCCCCCCCCCGTTTTTCCCTTTTTTTCAAAACTGGCGGTCAAGCGTTAAGTAACTCCCTGTCTAAATCCACCTGCTGGAAATGAACTTGGGTAACCCCCCCCAGGGGTGCACAAAGAGGAGACACAGTAACACACTCCCGGCTCTTCTCCCAGCCGCCCCCTCCCCGCTGCCCTGCTTCCATTCTCCTGCTCCCAGCACACAAATGCCCACAGCTCGCACTCCCCCTGCCACCACCGAGCCACGAACCAAAATAAACGCTCGCTCCATCTACTTAAAGAGCAGAGACGGCTGGAAG